AGGTATGACAGTGATACACTGGGTCCACAGTTGCAGCAGAAACTGCATAATGGAAATTATGAGTTGTCAGAGGATGTAGAAAGAACAATATTTTGAAACGATGGAATTAGAAATCTTCTGTGAGTGATTACAAGAAATGTGGGAACTTCAGAACTGTATGGGGGCAACAGATGGCGAACATGTTTTCAGTTAAATTCCGGGGTTGGAATCTATAAAACAATAACAAAACCATATTATTCACTTGTGTTATTGGCGTGCAGTATTCTTGATGGGAACACTATTAACATTAAACTTGATTTCACTGGAATGAACAGTGATAGTGCAGACTTCTAAACCTTTGCCATACATGTAAAGGGAAGTTCTTATTACTCCCACTGTTAAACCAGTATTATATGGCAAATATGATGATTTTCCTTATTATTTTACTATTGATGAAGCATTCTCATTAAAACCAAAACTAACTTCACCACACTCTAAATATCCCTCAGTAAAAGAAGTGTGCATTTAACTACAAATTCAGCTGAGACTGGAAACACATGGAACACTGCTTTGTTACTATCAAAACTTACTATTACAATGAAAGATTAATCAGCATTACTCAATGACTGAATGTTTCATAATTTCAAATAAAAAAGGAGGACAAGATTATTAACCACAATTTCCCAGAGAATAAATGAACATCTATGAACTCACATTACTAACTCAGGAAGACTGTAAAGGAAATTTCCTAAGAAAACATGTAATTACTTTTTAAAACATGCAGCAGTCTTGCCATAACAATACACAATTTATTTGTGTAAGCAAATAACTGGCTGATGCAGAAACACACGTATAATGTAAACAAATCAAACTACTCCTTAGGTCAATTAAAAAATCCAGTGACCTCATCAGCAGTTAAGAGGGTAGAGTTCATTGGTGATAGGATATCATATATAATACTAAAAGGTCGCTGGTGCGATATCGTTACAGATGTTCACGCCCCAACACAAGATAAAATTGATGACATAATGGACAGGTTCTATGAAGAAATAGAACATGTATTTGATAAATTCAGAAAGTACCCAATGAAAATTTTGCTAGGAGATTTCATTGCCAAAGTAGGGAGGGAAGACATTTTCAAACCAACGATTGGGAATGTGAGTCTGCATGAAATTTGTGTTGATAATGGAGTTAGAGTAGTAAACTTTGTCACTTTAAAAAATCTTACTCTCAAAAGTACAATGTTCCCACATCGTAACATCCATAAATTTACTTGGACATCTCCTGATGGGAAGATACACAATCAAATCGACCATATTTTGATAGACAGGAGACCACACTCAAGTATACGTGATGTCCAATCATTCAGGGCAGCAGATTGTGATACTGACCACTACCTGGTGGTGGTAAAGGTTAGGGAAAGACTGGCAGTGAGCAAACAAATAACACACAGAGTTCATATGGAGAGGTTCAATCTCAAGAAATTAAACGAGGTAGGGGGTAAAGAGCAGTATCGTGTTGAAATCTCAAATAGGTTCACGGCCTTGTAAAACTTGGACACTGAGGTGGATGTTAAATTATGGATTTAATATCTTGATGTATATGACAATAACTTAATAAAAACTTCTTTTATCATACATATCCCTCATCCCATGCAATCACTCTGAACACAAGGACTATTTTTAAAACTTTGCACACAATGCAAAATAAAATTAATCAGACATATATATCATAACTACCGTCAGTAATAACATATACATTACAGTGGTACCTGGAATAACCCCCATCTCTCTTCATCTCTAAATAGAATGTAAAATAGAGCAAAAGACTGGGAGAACAAAATGTTATTCTATAAAACGAAGATCATGTACCAGTCACCTGAGACCATAACAATATTCATTCAGTTTTGTTACATTATATCCCTACTTGGAGGCATCTCCTTGCAAGACAAGAAAAATATGACAGTATGTAATTCCAGAAAGTTTGTGGTTCCGTAAGTCAAACACTCAAGAGTAAGAGTACTGAAGAATAAGTAACATTTTCCTTATGCTAAACGGTGCTTGGACCTTACTTCCTTACCCAAATACTCCTACACACAGGCATGATTACTCGGAAATGTTATTGAGTGGTTTTCAGTATGTTTCACCAGTTGTACAGTGAACAGAGTTGTGGGTGAGAGAATAAAAGCAACAATAAAGCAAAGCTAACCCTGCAACAGGCTGTGGAGGCCGATGTGCTTGAGATGTCAAGGCTCCCACATTTTCTAGACAATTGGCTCACAGATGGCAGAAAGTTTGTCAGCATTACACAACAGCCGCTCTTTACCACTGGGAAGATTCTTGGTATTCATTTCTGTTAGAGGCTGAGTAGACCCTAGGGCCATAGTGCAGCAAGAAGGATTAGGAACTTACTTACTTACTTACTCATGGAGCTGAGCCCTTCTGGAGGAGCTGCCAACTCTGCAGCTACTCAAGAATTTCCCAGGATTTTATGGAATCCGAAGGTTCATTACCATGTTCACAAGAGCCCTCCATGGGTCCCTTTCCTGCGCCACATCAATCCAATCCACGCCATCCCATCCTATCTCTCCATTTTAATATTGTCCATCCACCTACGCCCTGATCTTCCCAGTGGTCTCTTTCCTTCTGGCTTTCCAACCAATATCCTATACGCATTCCTCGTCCCCCCATTCATGCTACATGGCCTGCCCACCTCATCATCCTTGACTTGATCATTCTAATTATAATTGCAGAAGGGTACAAGTTATGAAGCTCCTCATTATGCAGTTTTCTCAAACCTCCTGTCAAAGAAGGATTAGGTAAATTTAAAAATATCCAATGATCTCATCAGAATGCGAACCTACAACCTTCTGGCTTCTAGCATAGTGCCTCAACCAATTACACTACCACATGCCTCTGGTATGGAACTGATAACTAATAATATTAATAATTACATTCATATATTTAATCTTACTCATATGCTGAATTGATCATAAATTTCTTTTTAAACTTGGCACTTACACGTGCGCGCACACACAAGTAAATATATAGGATGTTTGAAAAGTAACTCCCTAATTTCATTTGTTTATAAATGAAGAATTATGTGAAAGCAAAACATTTCTCAGAATATGGCGCTTTATTATTATGTTTTTTAAGAGGCTACACCTAACACCACCACATATATAGTATATCTGAAAAGAAATAGAAAGATTTTTATTGACTCAAAAAGAATCATTCACAAGAAATTTGTCTCTGAAGAAAGAACCATAAATGCCCGATTTTATTTAGAAGTTATGGAAAGACTGTTGCAAAGAATCTGGCAGGTCAGACCACACTTTCATAAAAACAAGAAATGGTTTCTGTTGCATAACAATGTGCCTGCACATACTGCGTAAAATTTCAATTGCAAAAAGAGGTTATTAAGATTAAGCCCTTCTCCAAATCACAAGACCAAAATTATGATGAAAGGGCATAATTTCACACTGTTCAAAACTTCCTAAAGGATGTGGCCAACCATCTCAAGGGGATAAGACAGGATGAATTTCAAGGATGCTTTCAACAACTAATGTAGTCTATAGTCTCATGGGGACCATTCTGAATGATTTTCATAATAAATTAATTTTCTGGGCCTTTTTTTAAATATACATTTTGTCTCATTACTTTTCAGATGCAGTGCTGCTTTATAACATGTCAGTATCTGCACTCACAAAACTTTAAAATGTGCAATTAACATTTGCATGACATATTTTCTAGTAAATGGACTCAATGTATTGTAATTACAAATAATATTTAAAATCTGTGCCAGTTAAAATGTTCAAATAAAAAAGGTTCAAGTACAAACTGTGACTGAAAGTTTTTTTCACTTTCTCAGACTGGACAAAAACAATATTAGTTCTCATTTAATTTGCTTATTCCATGTACTGTAGCTTTAGCAAATGGTAACACGCTCTTGTTCATTACTATATGGATACACACAGCAGAGATGTGTGATACTTCTGCAATGAGGAAATGTATACACCAGGCATTAAAAGAGGAACTTATTTACTGAACTCTCACATTTCTTTGGTGTGATCATGCATTACTAGCTCAGCATGCAGATTTTCTCCAGTGTTAGGCTTGATAACTAAGTGATGCAACTATACAAACATCCTCACTCACTCATGGAACTGAGTCCTTCTTGAGAAGCCGCCAACTGTGCAGCTACTCAAGGACTTCCCAATATTTTATGGAATCTGAAGGTTCATTACTGTCTTCAGAAGAGCACTTCCACTGGTCCCTATCCTGAGCCACATCAATCCAATTCATACCATCCCATTCTATCTAAGATCCATTTTAATATTGTCCACCCACCTACATATTGGTATTCCCAGTAGTCTCTTTCCTCCTGGCTTTCCCACCAATATCCTGTATGCATTCCTCTTCTCCCCCATTCATGCCATATGCCATGCCCATCTCATCCTATTTGATTTGATCATTCTAATTATACTTGGAGAAGAGTACAAGTTATAAAGTTCCTTATTATGCAGTTTTCTGTAACCTCCCATCACTTCATCTCTCTTCTGTACAAATATTCTCCCCAACACCCTCAGTCTATTTCCATCCGTTAATGTCAGAGACCAAGTTTCACAACCATACAGAACCACAGGCAAAATTATAGTTTTGTATATTCTAATTTTTATGTTTTTGGACAGCAGACTAGAAGACAAAATGTTTTGGACTGAAAGGTAGAAAGTATTACCTGAGTTCAATTTATATAAACATCCTACTATTTGTAAAATGTATAAATACGTTATGCACTGAATTTGAACACTTTGGTCTTGTGAATGTACATAACGCTAAGGTGTGATATGGAATCGGCTATATTTCCAGCAACCATAGGAATCCCAAAATTAGATTTTAAGCTATAACTTCTGGGGTATCATTGCTCATTTTACCCATGCTTCAGGGCTGCACACTATTCAATTCATATCTTTCGTATAACCCAATATATAAAGCTGTACGTTTGGGACGATATGAACTCACCTGGATAAAAGAACATTGCTGCATGTGTAGGGGGATGCTGGAGCAAGGGGTGAGGAGGTGCAGGACCCCGGTACTCCATCCCCGGAGAACTTCGAGCCCGTGCCCTCGCCGTGGCTTGTTTAGTTCATACCATTAATATCACTCAACGTAATGCACTTCTTGAAACATGTCCACTTTTTACAGACAAGCGGGCACATAAAACTGGCATTTTATCTGACAAATGTTGAAAACTGGTTTCGAAACATTCAAACCTTTCTCCCGCAATGTGTTCTGAGGTTTCCTCTCTACAACGTACTAGATTAACTTACTAGATCCTGCCCTGTGTGAATGCACATTAGCTTTTTGATTCCACATATCAATTCTTCTATACAGTTTGGCAGTTTACGGGTTTTGTAACAACGCTGGCGCTTATCCTGTACACTCATTAATGCCATCGGAACGTTCAGTCCTTTACCGTAGCCACATTCTTATTCAGTACGCAAACTTTAATCGACTCTATCTTAGCTATAAGAACTCAGCACATGACCAACAAAATTATGTATAATATGCTAACCGCAGGTCAAAGCTAAGCGCATAAACCATATTACACGCTATTACAGTTTGACTTCGTACTTTTTTAGTCAGACCCCCACCACGACCGGGCGCTTCGCTTATTATGCGTCACGGTTGGCAGGTCGCTGGTTCGGACGGATCGATGAGCTACTAAAAGACACCTCTGCTAGTCAATGTTGTTTTATCTGAAAAGAACAGCGTCACAACACTTCGCATCATACAGTAATTCACACCTCACCCTTTTACAGCAGACACAATTCGTTATATCTTTTTCAGGCTGTTAATCTATTTTCTAATTTCCTAGTTCCAATGTCATATAGATGATTCAAGTAGTCCTTTGTTTACAATGACATATAGCGACCACTCCCTGCCCACGTAAATAAACAATACCATCGTGCTGAGCGCAATCATGTATCGCATCCTTCCATTCCGACGGTCTCTGACTGACTGCAGTTGAACGAAGTTTGTCGATTTGTCAACGCAGACCATTTCATTATACCAACATTACAGAATGAAAATAACTAATCAAGCTACTGCACTGCACAGACTTTACAGTTCTAATTTGCTGATAGAAGCATACAAGGCGACGGAATCGACGGACAAAAAATGTATCGCATCGGTAACTTTTATATGCTCAGTCCCATACAACGGCCGCAAATCCTGATGAAACCCCTACTACGATGCTACGATTTCAAGCAGGAACAGCCAATAAGCAGGTGTTCTATTTTAAAAAACTGGTTAACTGGATGCTGGGTTGTAAATACCGAAGTCTTCTCTATTAGTCTGCCGCAGCTTCCAGCCAGCGCTGTTGCCACATTCTCCGGGAAAATCAATGCCGAGACGGGGATTGAGAGAGCAGTGCCAGAGGAAGACGGGAAATTAAGAGGGTTGCGAGTGAGGAAGGAAGGGAAGTGATGGTTTAAGACGGAAAGAGGAAATGTGGGTAAGAGGGGATGGAGAGGACAACTGTCTTGTGCTTTTTGTTCCTATTCTTGTCTAGGCATGTGTAGAGAGAAGAAAAGAGGCTTAATAATCTTCGAGGCAAAAGCCGTCATTCATTATGTGGTCTAATTCATAACATTCATGCCGAGTGGCGCTGCTCTAGGCCATGTACTACGACAACAAATATCTGTGCATTACACACGGGCACCGTCCTCTAGACTCTCTCCTTTACGCAAAACATTGGCCCTTCACACGGTCACCGACACATGTCGAGACGTAAGGGAAAAGTGACGTGCGCTCGACAATTGTCGTGCGGCTGGCGCCCGAGTTCGGCCGAATGGGATCCATCTGCCCCCTTACTACCAACGCGTTAATTGCGAAGAAATATGAGGAAAGTGCAACACGGGCATTTCTGCCAGACAACACATTAATTTTTCAAAGAAATTAACTGAACATCGTTCAAATAAAACTCCTTACATAATCCAATTCCTTCGCATACAAAGGAAACCGAATTTCACGCTGCCTGATGGAACAGCGGGGTGAGGAAGAGACGGTACATTTGAGCAGCACTTGTTCTTCGTCAAGAATACGGTTGAAGAAAGCAGTCTTCTGGGATTTGGCACCGTGTATATGTGGTGTTAACCGACGTTTCGGAGGAACGTATCCCCTCCATCTCCATCGCCTCCACCCTGAAGATGGAGGCGATACGTTCCTCCGAAACGTCGGTTAACACCACATATACACGGTGCCAAATCCCAGAAGACTGCTTTCTTCATAGTCACCGCCGTGAAAGCCTCAAATCTTGCAAGAATACGGTTGTTTTCCTTGTCAATTCACCCACCATTCATACAGACATACAGTCACGTGTATGAGTGATTACTGACAGGGTTTTGGTTTGGAGATTGGAGTTACTGACCACTCTTGACACACGACTCGTGACTACACTTAATCATAACGCCGGGACTGATTTCCACACTTTACAAACGCCTACAGAACACGCTAAGTCTTTTTAAATCTGTTGTGGCTCCACCACTCATTCCCTGGTAACGGCTTCTAACAACTGCACCGGCTGTGTCCTCTTTACACACACTCCCTCGCAACCCTCTGCTAGCTCTGTTACAACTGATGAACTCGTGTCAAGATCAATGTTACGACGAACGGCCAGTCTGTCTTGGAATAAAGCACCCATCTGGGGCTTAAGACCAGATCTTTATTACTGTCATACAGATGCACGTTTGTTGACGTGGGGCGCGCTCTTTGATGAGAGGGCGGGTCTGTCGTTTGCTCTGACGAACTTCCAACCCCGTCTCGGTTATGACATTCAGGCACGAATCGAGTTGAAAACACAGTTCACTGTCACACTCCGATTATTTCTGCGGGAACGTGCTTGTCTGCGAAGACGTTACCCAGTAACGGCTGCGTATACTTGCTTATTAAGAATTTGCTCCCTATCAGCGAATGTTGTTTCGCTGTTTGTTTCGAGGTTGTTACCCAGTAACGGGTCTACACGCTACAATACATTACACACACATATACATAACATTCCTCGGATCCATAGTTTGTGGAAAAACGACTGAAGGACGTGGAACAGGGCACAGAAACATAAACCACATATGTACAGCATAAATGAAACTTTCATATAAAAAAAGGAAATAAAATACACAGTGGGTTCGTGTAAACAATTCAAATGCTTCAAATGGATTATGCTCATATACATCAATACCTTCTACAATACTGTAACTAAAACTTTAAAGAAGGCATAGCACTCAATATGCGAATTAAACGATCATTTATACTGCCCAAAAAAAAGGCAGACTGGGAATGGGATTAAAATCTAATCCAAAAACTCAGGGCGATTCAATATCCTCGGCTGCCATGCATACTGACAAGACAATGGAGCATATTTAAAAATACTTTTGGTCGTTCTTTATTAGGTCCGCGGTATGAAACAAAGTGACAGAAAATAAAAGTTATAAAAGTTTTGTTATAAATTTCTATGATCTGTTTCTTCAGGGGTGTCAACTTGGCATCCCATCTACTAAAAAGTTAATTACTACTGACTGAAACCATCGCGGGAGTTCTTTTTTTTTTATTCATTTCATAACTTATTTTGACATCGATAATACAATAGCACACATGTTTGGGAAACTCTTCAGGGGCTTTGTATTCTTTTGTGACTCTCGGCTAGAAGTCAGTACTTTCCGGAAAGTCCTGCGACGGCCTTAGAAACGCCTTCAAGCAATTCTGAGATCTTTCCCTATTTCCAAGTATCTACTGTATGCTTATCGTGGAGCCCTCTCGGTTTAAATTAATCTCTTTCTGCGGCAGCCACCAAATTACCATTTCAATTAAGCAATTCATAATTAATTAAAACAATCAAAATTCTGCGGCCCCCGTCTCAAGCTAACACACCTTCTCATTCTTATAAAAAAAAAGAATCTGCTTTCTCTCTCCTCAAATTAAAGTGTCTCGCGCTGTCTCTTTTCTCTCTATACTTTCCCTCTTCACTTACTTACACGTATACTATTCTTCGTATCTCTTAACGGAATGGTTCCCAAAGCTTACGACCTATCGTGGGTTCACACAGTCTTTCGTGAACACCCTGGATGGTGAGTATTGCTAGGGCCCAGGACAACATCTATGCACAAAGCAGACGTGCAGGTCTTCGGTCCGGCAAGTCCCTCCATATTTTCTCTAAGTTACATGTTTATACATACTTGACTAAATAATTTAATCCATGGCGTGAATATATCTGAAACAGACGCAAATTGTAACTCCACACCGATCAGCAAATGTGGGCAAGACCGTTAGTTGCTAAGCAGCAGGACACTGCTTCTGTCCCTACTTCTACGCGTCATGTCAAGTTCTATCGTAAGAGAATTTCTAACGGGGATGAATGTCGTAATTCACGAGGTGGGAGGTGCTGATGCATTTCCAACATGGAAGTCAATTCTGGAAGTTCACCGTCGCTAGTCATGGTCATACAAACATTAAGTCCTTGCATTCGAGAATCTTCCAATTCCGGTTTCAAATCTTGCTCTGCAAAGTCGCAACTACTGTATTACCCCGAACAGGTTAATGTCATTTCACAATTCATAGTACTGAATCAAAAGATATCAAATATGCTAAATTCTTTCATTTTTATGCCATAATTAACTTATGCACGCCATAAATTGGAATTAAATCTTCAGTTTGATTCCGAACATGTGGCTGGCGAGATAGCCAGTCCCCATTAAAGGTTTCAATTAAAAGGAAATAAACGATTTTCGAGTTATGGAAGGAAAATACTGTAACGGCAAAGGCTTTAAGTTTGATTAAAAGACTTTATTCATGCGTAATATTTGGAGTGATTTCAAGCGTTAGTTCCTATGTTTTAATTGCATTACCAGGACTAGCGTGTGTGTAATAGTGAATTATAAAGTATAGAAACAGCGATAGCGCTCACTACTTGCAATTAAGAAAAGAACTTGTAGTCATGGTGCTAATAAATTCAATCATCCGAACTAGAAGAACCCGTCATTTTCGTCACGCGTATCACCCTACACGTGCCAATACTGCACAGATCCTGCCCGTAAACCAATGTCTGTCATCCTTGTTCCAAAAAAGGAGTGGCGCATCCAGCCACAAACTACAATACTATTAGGAAGCGAGCTAATACATAGCGCAATTTGACACGTTATTTGATTAATAATAATCGACAGTCCGAAACTGCAAATGGCGATTTGCACTTTGACGTTCCTCAAGAGAACAACAAACGGTCTTCCGTCCCGTTCAGGGGTTGACTTTTCGAATGGGGATTTCAGTAGGGAGGCTGCGGGTTGCGGTTAGGTCAAGCTGGGGTTTATTTCACCCTCCCACCCATATATTCTCCTCCTACCCTACGGCAGCCTGATATCGATCATTGCTCACGCACGCGTCGCCCACCACAAATCAATCCTACCAACACACATGAAATTACGCCACCTTCAATACGATAACATTTGTGCTCATGGGAATAATAAGCAACGGATAAACAGCAACATGACGTAATTCTACGGGCTGTAAACTCCGGGGCGGGAGGCTCCAAAATATCGTTCCTAACCCAAATACAATAAAAACAAATATCACACGGATTTTAGTCACAGATCCAATGGGTTAAAAGCCTTTTAGTGGGTAGTTACATTTGTGAATCAGCAGCGCACAGACTTAAAGAGTTGTTCGATATAAACATAAATTTATCTCTGTGTTTCATTAAGCACTACGCCATGAAGACGTATGGGGGAGTGGATGTACAGTTCCAACATTCTTAACCTCGGCACTAGATGGAGGTGTGTGGTTAGATTCACGGCCCTGCCACTTAACTCTCGGGGAAACAGCCACCGGTACCCATTGTACAGGAGGCTGGGTAGGCCCCAGAGCTGGTCTGGGAGTTATGGAGAAGAGAAAATCTCTTGCCCCTGCCGGGAATGGAACCCTGACTCCTCGGCCATCCAGGCAATAGCCTAGTCGCTATACTGAGATATCCCGGATCCATTTAGTTATTCGATATACTACTACTGCTGCTGCTACTACTACTACTACTA